GGGGAGTTCCTGTGAGGATCAGAGGAGGGTGAGTCACAGCTAAACAATAGGACGTGTCCCTGGGGCCAGGCTTTGTCCTGTGAAGGAGGTATCACCATTCTCCCTACCCTGCAGGTAAAGCAATGGAAGTTCAGAGAAGCCGTGTGAAGCTCCCAGGGCCGAGGGAGTGCTGTAACTGGCACCCTGGCCTTTCAGCCTCTGCAGGTGACACCACAGCCTGCTCTCCTTTGAAAACCACAAACAGCTCCCTGAGCTCACAGCACCACGCAGGCACTCCAGAAGCATGTGGGGAAAGGTGGAGGGAGGAAGGGAAGGGGCAGGGTTGGAAGTCTGAGGAATTCTTGCCTAATGCCTTCAGATCCCACCCCCAACCAACTTAGAGTCGTCTGCGCGACGCCCTCCGGAAACGCTTCCCCGCCCCAGAGAGAAGTGACCTGTCACCTGTCTGACTCCTCACAGGGCTGCGGCTGGTGAGGGCCCAGCCTGAGTCTGGGTCATGGTGGTATCTCCAGGCCCTAGTACAGTGCCTGGCACTCATTCAATATTTGTGAATAAATTTCTTCTGTTGCTGGCCTGGATTTCCTACCCAAGCTTTCCTGTTGGTCAACGGGTCTAAAGAAAGGAGCCGGGACTTCTGGGAAGGTCCTGGAAGGTTGTTGGGCACATGCTGATGGATGACCAGTGAGAGGTCCCTGTGCCAGCTCTGAGCCCAGCCTCCCACACCCCCTCACTGCTGGGGGAACTCAGAAGGCTGGGATGGCCCATCCACCCTGCTCTTCTCCATGGGACCTGACGCTGGTGAGCTGAGCACAGGGCCCCCGCGTCACATGAGGAAGCCTAAGGCGTTGCTGAGTAGACCAAGGTGCGTGCGTGAGCCATCGTGTGTGCCGGTGGCTTGAGTCGGGCCCACCTGGCTGATAGCTGGTCGACAAGTCACATGAGAACCAGAACAATGCTCCGTCAGGTTGAGCAACCAGCTTCCCTTCCTCGCCTCCGGCAAGAGCTGGGCCAGGGAAAGTGAAGCAACCTGCTGGGGCCTCCGCGGGGTGGGCGTGGGCGGGGACCTGCCGGGAACCGGCGGCTGGACCAGTTTCCATTGCTCCCGGACCGGATGCAACCCCGTGACTCGGGCGGAGGCAGGAGAAACGCACGCCCTGGGCGCATCTCTGTGTCCTCCAGGGCGACACTGGCTTTGGCAATGATACGACTGGAGGCTCTAGGTCAGCGGTCACCGGGCGTGCGACTTCCGGCTGCTCCATCAGGCGAGCGGGCGGGGCAGCAGCGAATCAGCTGACAGGTAGGACTGGAGGGGGCTGTGCACCGCCCGCCGGCGGGGAGGGAAAACGCGTGCGGGGGCGGCGCCCTGAAATTGCGGGGTCCTCACGCCGCCCCCGCGCCTCCCCCTGCGCCTCCCGGCGGCGCCTTTGGGCGGCAAGGCCCGAGCATGAGTCGTGCTGGAATCCCAGCTGTTCCACCGACAGGCTTTTGTGGTCTTGGGCACGTGACTTGGCCCGTCTGAACCGGTTTTCCCAGATGAAAAACGGGACTCTCTTCCTCAAAGCGTGGCGTGAGAAGTCAGTTAAAGAAGCCAGGCACAGTGCCTAGCACGTAGTTGGTGCTCCTATGGCGGGGTTCCCTTTCCCCTCTTCGTGTAGGATCCCGATCTCGCTCCCAGCCGCAAAGTCGCGCCCCCCCAGGTGACCCGAGGACGGCGGGGTCTGGGCGGCAGCAGGCCTGGCCTGGCAAGAATCCGAGAGTCCTCGGAGCCCTGCCAGCCTCTCCAGGGGGCCGGGGCGCGTGGGCGGGTCCCCAAGGCCGCCTTCCGGCCGCGGTCAGCGATCCGCGATCCGAGGGGGCGTTCCGGCGCCTCTTTCCCGCAGGTGTGGGTTTGTTCTCAGATCCTCTGGCGCCCACAGCGCCGCTGGCGGCCTCCCCCGCCGCGGCCCGGCCTCCAGCGGCTGTCCATACAAGGCCGGCCTCCGCCGGCTGCTTGCTGTGTGGACGGCGCCGCGGGGAGGCGGGGCTCGCGGGCGGGCGCTCCGGGCCAGCGAGGCGCAGGGGGAGCGGCGCGCCCTGCGACCCTAGGTTCCCGCCGGGTGCTCGGTGCTGGCCGCCTTCGCTGAGCCCGCGCGCCCGGGCGGACCTGCGCCCCCGATCCTCGCCGCAACCCCTCGAGGAACGTTCTCCTCGTTTTACAGACGGGGGACTGAGGCTCGGCAAGTTTACATGGCTTGGCCGAGGTCCCAGCGGCAAGAAACGGCAGAACAGGGAATTCGAACCGAATATCCAGGCTTTCCCCCACCCCACCTGTCATTGCTGAGACTGTGATGGTCTTAACGGGAAGAATAAAGAATAACCACAAGGAACCGGATCCACAGACCAATGGGAAGAGAAAGGGCCGTCCAGAACTTCCTTGGGTGTCTCAAACAGGGGTACTCAACCACAAGATAAAGCACAGACTATTTTTCTTGGGTGGCAATTTTACTCCTTTTTAAATTAAAAACTGTAAAATTCTTATTGAAACAAATAATGATGGAGAATATAAAACTCTAGGAATTCTTTTAGCTGAAAATAGGAGACTTCAAAGAAATTTCAGGCTGTGTCCGCAGCGTTCACCTTTCGCTGGGTGGTGCAGAAACATGGTTGACGTCATTTACACAGATAGGAAACTGAGGCCGGAACGGAGTCCCGTCGGGAGCGAGAGGCAGAGCGGGCCCAAGATTTCCGCCCCAGCGGGCGCCTTCTGCGGGCGGCGGGCCCGTGCACGGCGAGCTGGCCTCGGGCCACTCAGTCGGCCGAGCGCGGCCACGCGCCGGGGGCCGAAGGCGACGGGGACGCGCGGGGGGTGGGCGGGGCCCCAGGGGCGTCTCCCCATCCCCCCAGCCCCCGGCAAGGGCGGGAGCGCAGCTCCGCTGGGCCTGTCCGTCAGACCCGGGCTTCCATCAGCCCCGCCTCTGCTAGCTCTGGGTCTTGAGAAGTGACTCCCGCGCTCTCCCCGCAGCGCGCGCGCCTGCACAGAGGAGGGTAGCAGCGCTTGCCCATAGGGTTGGTGTGTGCCCGTCTGTAACGGCCTGGAACGTTCAAAACCCAATTCACTGCCGTGTTTGGCTGTGGTCGTTAGGCGGCCCTGGGTAGGCAGCTCAGGCCAGTTAAAAACTGGATGACCGGGCGGGTGTACTTTCTGCAGTCCCCGTCTGGAGACGGGAGTTTCATTACACTCCATCACCGGGGGGGGGGGGGGGGGGGGGGGGGGCGTGAGGACAGATGGCAAGTCCACAAGTGGTTGTGTTTGTGACTCTTTATTATCTGCCTGTACTGTCTTCAGCACCTTGCACTTATTAACTCATTTAATTCCACAATTACAGCATGGGAGAGTATTACTGTTATCCCATTTCATGAGTAGGAACTGAGGCACAGAGAGGTTTAGTGGTTTATTTCAGGTCACGCAGCTACTAAGTAAGATTTGAATCCACAAAATCAGGCTCCATACTCCATGTTCCTAACCCGTACTGAATGTACCAGGCACTATGCTAGGCCATGGGGTTGCCGCCAGGAGGAACAACACATAGTCACCTCCTCAAGGAAGGTCAGGGTCCCCCTTCTGAGTTCTCGAGCCTTCCGTACCTGTGCTTACGTTTATTGCACGTACCCTGTCGTGTTTACATGCACCTCGCGTGCACCTCTTACGCAGTAGGAGTCGACACTGTTGGTTTCCCTCTCGCTGTGTTTTGGGGTCCAGTTACAAGTGCTTACATGGAGCGGGTTGGTGGGGGTTTTGAGTGATAGGACACGGTGTCGGGAGGTGCTCGGCACACCCGAGTCTCCCTGCAAAGTACTTGGTGATCGTCCAGTTAAATGGGCTGAAACGGCGCAGGCTTGAGGGCTGGACCCTTTATAATAGTGCTTGCTTCTGCCTGTCCGAATCACTGTCCGTGCGCTGGAGTTCCCGGAGCTGAGGGCGAGTTCACTGTGTCTGTCATCGAATCATTTCCAGAACCGCTTGTGGCCACGGCGCCTTCGCTCAGAGGTGCAGGGCTGCCCCTCACCTCCTCTCCCTCCTGGGGTGCCTGTGCTCACCGTCTTGCTGTAAGTGGCTGAAGGGCTTAGTGGAGAATGCTGAGCTCCCCGCCACACAAGTGTCCGCTGTCCTCACGTTCATTGCCTACATGTCATGACCCTTTCAGACTGGGCTCCTGCATTTGAAGCCTTGAGGTAAAGGTGAAAAGTAAGAAAAAAAAGCGTCACGGTTGGAAATAAAAACGTGCAGTGGGGAGGTTTCCAGAGTAATACAAAACAGCTTTATATTTTAGAAGATTTTAAGCAGGGTCTGGTTCGAGGCAGCGTGCCCTGAGTTCCCATCACCCATCGCGGCTGTGTTCTGAGGCTCAGGACTGCCTTCAGGGGATTCCGGGAAAGCAGCTGACGGCCTGACACTGACGTGTGATTGCTCCTGGTAGGTGGCATAGCCGGCGGGCAGCGTCCAGCACCGGGTGGGCGCTCAAGGGGAAGCCAACGTGAATAGGGACGGAGAGGCAGAGGGGACGTTGAAGACTGTATACTCAGCTGACATTTATTGAGCACCTACTGTGTGCCAGTTGCTTGTAAATCTATTATTTCAAATAAACCTCACCAGAAGCCTGTGAGGAAAATACTACATTACAGAAGAGGAAGTTGACACTCGAAGAAATTCATGGCTTGCCTGTCTCCCAGGGAGGAAGCGGCAGGGTCTGCCTTGGAAGTCGGGTCTGACTCCAGGTTCTGCGTCTGGTTCGCTGCAGCCCCTGCTTTTCCTGTGTGCCCGCTGTCGCTGATCTCACAGCTGGAGGCGGACCAGAGGGGCCTTCCAGATCAACTCAGCCCGGGTTTCTCTGCCTCTGTTATAATTCAGGTCACCACAGATGAACCCCAAAACCTCACACTTTCTTTTTATGAGTTTGAAGTTCAAAATAATTTAAATATCATGATTCAAAACAAATCAAAGCAAAGGGACAATGTTTTCAGTATTTTGTTTTTAGAGGAAATAAGCCTCCCCAGAGCTCCGGGTTCGCGGCCCTCGCCTCCGCCCTCCACCCGCCCGGCGGAGAGCTGCTCGTCCTCGCCCCCACCCGCTGGTCACCGACTTCCCGGGAAGTTGAGCCCAGAGAGGAGGAAATGGCCAGTGACATGGCCAGCATTTGAAGTCAGTTCTCTGCCTCCGACTGTGGTCTCTTGCCTTCACCTCTGCTCTCTCTCAGCCTGCTCTCGCCACGCCCAGGCCCGGGTCTGCGCTCCGGGCAGACGCCATCCCCCAGTTCCAGAATGTGTCGCCCCCAGGCCTGCGCTCGGCCCGTTCCTCCGCCCGGATCGCCGCCCTCCTCCTCCTGTTTGCGGCGTGAACTCCATTCCTCCAGATCCGGCTGAAAGGCAGCTCCCTCGAGAAGTTTTTCTGGACTCCCACCTGCATCCAAATAAAGGGGCGGATTCCTCTTTCCTGCCTGGCGTGAAGATTGCCTCCCGCGTGTGTTAACACGTAAATGGGGTTCGCCAGTCTCTCTCCCTCTTAATCGCTTATGACCTCCCTGGGCATCCCCCCGCCGCTGCCAAAACTCTGCGGGTGGGGCGGGCCCGCAGTTGCGCGTGTTTTGCGCAGAGTGCCGGCGCGAGCGAGCGCTCAGCGGACGCGGGTGAGGTCCGCGCCGCCCCGCGCGCTGGGTCCCATCCCGTCCGTGTCCTTCACGGCGATCGTTGTCTTCGCCGGGCTGCGAGCCTCGGGGGCGACTGTCCTCTGCAGGAATCAGGGAGCCTCTGCTGGCTTTCCAGCCGGAGAGTTTCTTGATCCACAGGCAGCACAGAGACTTGCTCACGGACTGAAGTTGTGGGCCGCCCGGTGTCCAGGCCCGCGCCTTTGGCGTCTGTCCCTGGAAGGGCTTCGTGTTACACAGAGGAGGCTGGGGAGGAGAAGCGCTTTGCCTTCATTCTCTGTTTATTCAAGAACGTTGCCCGCTGCTGCCTAGGAGCTGTTCTGGGCACCAGCGCTGTAGCAGCGAGCGAAGCGGAGAAAACATGGCTCGTGGCGTTTTCATTCCCCTGCGGGATATGGACAATCAATAAAGAAATAAATCTATCAGTCCAGATGGTAATAGATATTATGAAGAAAGAGCAGGGACCACCACAGACCCAGAGGAGCACGGGCAGACCCCTTTAGACTCAAGGTGAAGAAGGGCTGCTCGAAGAAGCCGCGTCTGGAGAGCTGTGAATGGGAAGTGTGTTCCAGGCAGAGGGGCAGCATTTGCAAAGGCCCTGAGGTGGAAATAAGCTGGGTGCCTAGAGGAACAGCAAGGTGGCTGGAGAGGCAGCACGGACAGTGCCTGCGCTGGGTCCCGGGTGGTGCTCTGTGGCCCCTGCTGGGGTCAGAGGAGAATTTGGAGGTGAGATAAGATTGGCCACGGCAGCTTGTTCTGAGTTCAGCCCAGCTGTGGGTGAGTGAGTGACTGAGTGACTGAGTGAATGACGCGGGGCCTGTCAGCTCGGAAATCTGCTGAGTGCCTTGGTCAGGTTTGTATATAGGTTTTAGTCGGTGACAAAATGAAGGCTTGTGGGGCAAAATTTAAGAGCAACATGATCTTTAAAATGAGTTTAAATGTTCAAACCAGAACAAAATCAGAGTGAGTTTCGGAGGGTGAAAATTTTAGTGTTTCTGCTGTAGAGAGGAATCGGCCAGATCCGCCCCAGGATTCCTTTACCCATTGTGTACGATTGCTCTCGGAGCGGTTTGAGGCTCTACGCTTCACTCTGGAGCGGGGGCTACACCTCGGATTGTCCCCGCCCCAGGCTCGGGGCCACAGCACCTGACAGTCCTCCGGAGAGTAGCCCGGCCATCGAGGCCACACCGAGGCCACATCAGAGGTGGGTGCACCCCCCTCCCCCGGGAGCAATACGGCAGAGTCCTGCGGCATCTGGTTAGAGCAGTGACAGTATCTGGTAGAACAAGGCAGCATCAAAGAGGGCGAGCTGGCAGCGCCGCCTCCAGCACAAGGCACAGGTTATACTGTGACGATTGCGGGGACTGAGGACAGTTAAGGGGGAGGGGCCCGGGCAACCTCCTGGCTTTGTTCTTGCTCGACCTTGAGGGCCGATAACACACTCTTTCCTCCAAGACGATGGGGAAGCCATGTGAAGGCAGAAGGGCCTGGACTCAGATTCTGTCTTGTTTTCAACTCTGTGGGGTGCTGTGTGACCTTTGGCACAGTCCTTAACCTCTCTGAGCCACAGTTTTCTCTTCTAGAGCACTTAATAATCCCCAGGTCCAGAGCTCCCCACCACATTGCTTGTCTTCCTGGGTCCACAGCCGTGTGCCTGCAGTGTCTCCGAAACAATGAAAATGATAACTTCTGTTTTTCAGGAACCAAATGAATTCTGGCTAGACCGAGCATAGTTGGTATTCTTGCTTTGATATTCTTGCGGCCTTTACTTTGCTTGTTTTGTTTCTTGTAATTATAGGGTCTTGGCCAAGAAACTTGACATGTATTTGCAGAGGAGCAATTTTATAGCTTTCCTTAGAACTGGAGCTTCAGCAAAGGGCGGGGGCGGGGGTGGGGCGTGTAGCTCCGGGCCCTGTGGGCGGCAGTGGTGTTGGGCAGCGACCGTTGGGTCATTCTTTGCCTTTCCTCGGCAAAGCAGACTCCAGGGTTGGAGAGAGTTGCATTTTAATATCAGGATTTGGGGGATCTGAGAGCTGTTAGAGGGAGGGGGCCGGGATGCCGATGTGTCGATGGGCTTCTTGGAAATGGGCCTACTCCCAGGGACGGGCAGCGCTGTCCCGCGTCGGGCCTGGCGGGGCGGTGTGCACTCCTCTGGGGGCTGCCTTCCAGGCCGCTCCCCGCCTCGGGCGTGCACGTGGCCGGGCGGCTTCCTGGTCCCTAGCGTGGGGAGGTCAGCCTTGCCAACCTGCCCCTTAGGGTCATGGGCTGTGTAAAGATGCTGCCGTGCGCAGGCCCCGGCTCAGTGCCTGGGGTAACGCACGGAGCAAGTGTCACTCTTCAAACACTCTGCAACCCACGAGTGTGGCCTCTGGAAAACCACGGAACTTTGTGAATGCCTCTGTTTTTTCATCTGTAAAATGGATGTACCACTGTCCGACCAGATTCACAGGGACTTTACGAGACAATGGATAAGAAAGCATCTTGTAAATTGTCAAGTCCCAAAAGAAAAATAAGGCATGACTATTTTCCTCGTCTTCATCCCTAGTCCCTGAGAAGACCTTGAGCGTGGATCTCCTTGCTCGCGCCTCGTCAGGTGCCGTTGTGCCCAGAGTCAGAGAGGCATCTGCTCAGATCCCTGCTATACTGGCTACTAGCTGCTGTGTGACCCTGGGGGAATCACTTAACTTCTCTGAGCATCTTCTGAGAATTCAGGACAATGAGACTCACCCCAGAGGTGTTTGTAGTAAGACTCAAGTGGGAAAGCATGTGTATCTGTCTAGAACAGCATCTGGGATCAGCTTGGTCAGTGCTCGTTACCTCTCTTTCCAGCCCTCCACCCCACTTGGATCTTCAGTGAGGTGGCTGCAGGTGGGGGCTGGCCTGGCTTATTCCTAAAACTGCTTGTCACATGTTAAGCTGAATCATGGAGAGTTGCATGAGTTCCTTTCTCCACTGAGCTGTGAACTCCTGAAAGAGATGATGTGTGGCTTGTAATTCTAGCCCCTGGTGTGGGGTGGGCACGCTGTTCTAGGCACAGGGGAGAGAGCGCAGACACTGGGCTGCATAGATCTGAGTTCGAATTTCCCTTTCCATGTCCTTGTAATAGGGACCTGGACAAGTCATTTACCTACTGTGAGACTCAGTTTCTTCATCTGACAGATAACCAAATAGAGATGCAGATATTTAGGGGTTGGTGAGAAAATTGGCTAAAGGCCTGTCAAGTGACTAGCATGGGACCTGCCACATAGTGAGCCTTAACGAGTCACTGCTGACTGACTGGAGGCTCCACCCACACCACGCTCTGTCGCTGGCGGCCTGTTCTCTTCCTGGACAGAAGTGATTGGAAGGTGCGCCCAGGATTGGCACAGCAGGGGTTTGCCCCTTGTCCACACACCGTCCGCCCGGAGAGGAAGAGTATTTTATCCCTGACATTGTTCAGAATTGCCTGCACATGGTGACAATAAAAAAGCGACTGACTCATTCAATGTTACTTTATTTTTTTTAAAGTTCGCTACAAATATTACGTCCCCTTCTTACCGGCACGGGGGTGGACCACTCCTACCTCCCGATCTTTGGTCCACAGAGGCTCACAGTACTAAGAGTGGGCGGGGGGGGGGGTTGGAGGGGGCATTCTGCTGCTCTAGGGCAGTGCGATGGTGTGTGGAGGGCTGGGGCCGGGGCTCTGGAGGAGCACGAGGTCAAAGCCACCCACCCACCCTGGTGTTGGGGCCAAGGGTTGGGGACGCTGCCGGGGTGCTCACAGAGGAAGAGCCTTTAGGCTGGGCTTGCTGGAAGAGCCAGCCCATGCCGAACAGGGAGGAGCAGGGAGGGCTGTTGGGTGTAAGCAACAGCACCTGCCGTCACAGATTTTTCACACTGCATGCGATATTCTGGGAACCTCAAGTAGGAGGGTTTGGCTGGAGCAGAACCAACAGGACATACTACTTGTATTTAAAAAATCTCCTAAGAATGACTTTGACTTCCCATTTTCTTGCAGGTTCTGGAGAAGCTTCCAGCCGGCTGCTCTGTTGTTCTCTGAATGCAGACGGTGGTGGAGCCCTGTCTTGGCCCGCAGCCGTTAGGATATTTCTCAGGGAAAGCCCTTGGACCAAGAAGTCTGTTTTTTCGTTGGAAACTATGAGACTCTCTGCAAAAACAAAGGAATTTGGATTCTGTTCAGGAAAAATGTAACCTACAAACAAATAGCCTTGGAAAATCTGTGCCTCCCCCTCGGTGCCTGGGTCAGGCACAGGGACAGCCCCACCCCCGAGCTGCTTTCGAGCTGGAGGCCACCTCCTTTTTCCTCTTCTGTGTGTTGTCTCTGGCTGCCCAGAGGGCAGTGCCTCCTCTCCATGCCTTCCCCTGCCCTGCCGCCCAGGGCCCCTGTCTCTGCAGTGCCCTTGATCTGGTTGGAATGCTCTTCCCTTCCCTCGCTGCAACCCTTCCTCATTCTTTAAGACCCAGTTCCAATGTCTCCCCTCCGGTTCTGAGTTCCCCAGGTGGCTAGTTGCTCTGCTATTATGTTGCTCTGAATAATTTCGAATTTAAATATACTTCCCTTTTCTTTCAGATAGCAATCCCTGATTTTATTCTTTTAGGAAATATGGTAATAATACTGACTGCCACTCTTAAACTCTTGCTATGTGCCAAGCGGGGTTGTACATTATGGTACCCACTGCATGCGCAAAGTGATTAGGAAAAAACTGGCACATAGTGAGGAGTCAGTAAAAGTTACTTCTTATTATCCTTCTTTTATCTTAATTCTCGCATAGCACTTGCAGCAAGTAAGATTTGTCATGCACATTATGATGATCGGGTTCCTCGTCTGTGAGCTCCTTGAAGGTGGGGACTGTGTCTTCTTGCTTGTCCAAGTCTGTGGACGTGCAAAGGGTGTTTGGTGAGTGAACATTTAGCCATTGAAACTGATGACTGAGTGCCGAGATTTACTTTGTGAGTTTCCAAATCAACTGAGAGTGGCTTTGGCCTTAAGAATAGGTATGGGGACTCAGAAGATCTGGGCTTAATTCTATTCCAGCTACCTGCCAGCTTTGTGACCTTGGGTACATCAGCCAATCTTTTCTGAACCCAAAAACCTATTTTTCAAAATGGGTGTCATAGTCCCTAACTTGCCTTCCTCACAGGTTTTCCTTGAGCGTCAGATGAGCTCACACATAGGAGAGTTTTGTGAATTGTAAAGTATTTTACACACGTGAGACATTATTGTTGGAATCATTTTGGACCCCGTGCCATCACCACCAAACGTGGCAGAATATGAGCCCTCGGGTAGCTCTAGCTGGACAAATAGCAATGTGCTGCTTTTGGTTTTCACAGTGTTTAAAAATGTAGTCCCGTAATGTTTGTAACCGGTGTTTCTTCTCCTCAAAGCATGCATCCAAGGTATTAGTCTCAGTCCTTTTAAAGGTTTTAAAAAGGGCCTTGATTTTCCTGCTTGGCTGCTGTAAAATCTATAACCCTGAACGTCACGGTGACGTTCTCTCTCAGGAAACGTCCGCAAGAATTGTAACTGAACAAAAACAGTATTTATTTTCCTTTTTAATTCAAGAAGCTAAATGCTAGGGAGTAGAAGGAGAGATGAGAAGAAGTGTAAGAGATGGGCTTGCTCTCAGGGAGCTCACAGGCTGGTTTGGGAGCCGGGTCTGGGTCCTAGGCTTGTGGGCAAAGGACGTGATCTGAGGAAGGAGAGACCTGCAGTGTTGAGGTGGTCTGTGAAGGTTGCAGGGAGAAAGCGGGCCTGTGTTAAGCTTAAAGGAAGACCATTGTTTGGACCACGACCCTGGGAGCATAATTCATAAGCCAGGGCCCGGCCGCTGACTACTGCTGCTCTCAGTTCCCCTTTCAGCAGGATTGTGATTTCTTTAGTTCTTGGGGGCTCAGGAGGAAGACATGAGGACGTTCTAGACATGCACTCACGGACAAACGTCTGAATCCAAAAAACTAATATTTTGTGACCGATGCTTTCATGATGAGGAAATAAAAACTCCTTACTTTTTTTTTAAAAAACGTTTTGGCCGTGATGTACTTGGCTTAAAAGATGTCAGAAAGAAAGCCGTTTATAGAGAATCGTAATACTCTAACTTCAGCATAACGCTAACAACAAAGGTGCCCCTGGATCGCTAAGGTTAACACACACTGCTGAGAATATGGGATGGCAGTAACAAGAACCCAAAGAAGGAAATATTAAAAATACGCAATTAGGAACTATTTAGGAAAGAAAGTGAGAACACCAGGTCTGGAAATGTATACAACACAGCCAAAGCCGTAGTCAGAGGTAAATTCAAAGCATTAATGCTATCACTTAAGAATAAGAATAAATGAAAAGAAAGTAACTACATGTCTAACTTAAGAATTTAGAAAATGGGGGCCGGCCCGGTGGCGCAGCGGTTAAGTTCACACGTTCTGATTCTCGGTGGCCCGGGGTTCAGTGGTTCGGATCCTGGATGCGGACATGGCGCCGCTTGGCACGCCCTGCTGAGGTAGGCGTCCCACGTATAAAGTAGAAGGAGATGGGCATGATGTTAGCTCAGGGCCAGGCTTCCTCAGCAAAAAAGAGGAGGACTGCCAGTAGTTAGCTCAGGGCTAATCTTCCTCAAAGAAAGAAATAAATAAAAGAATTTAGAAAATGGGCAGCAAAACAAGACCAAGAAAAGCAAGACAATAAAAAATACAAGGATGATAAGTGAATTAGAAAATCAACAAAGTAGGAGAATTCGTAAATAAATCCATAAGATGGTTCTTTGGAGGGCAACGTAAAATAGGAAAACCTCTAGAAAATCTGCTTAAGAGAAAAAAATCAAATAACTAATATCTGAAAAATTTCTACTGTTTGTAAAGCATGTCCCCATTCCGTATCACTCTTGGTCGCTAAGCTAATCCTGTCTGTTATATATTTGTATCCCTATTTTGCTAGTGATCAAACTGAGAATCAAACAAGTGAGGTTACTTTTTAGGGTCATACAACTAGTGAGTAGTTAAAGCCGTGATTTGAAGCAGGTCTGCTAACTTTGTTGAATATTCTTCCAATCATCCCATAGCATCCTCTCAGGATGAATTCAAGAAAGGAAGAGTGGAACATTTAGCATGTCTCCGTTGGTCTCCTGGGACCGCCGTAACACATCACCACGCATTCCTGCTGGCTTGGAGCAATAGGAATTTCTTCTGTCACAGTTCTGGAGCCTAGAAGTCCAAAACCAAGTTGTGAGCAGGGCCATGCTCCCTCTGAAGGCTCTCGGGGAGAGTCCTCGCTGTCTCTCCCAGCCTCTGGAGGTGGCCGTAGTCCTTAGTGTCCTCGACTTGCAGCTCTAGCATCTAACTTCTGCCCCCATCTTCCCAGGGTTTTCTCCCTCTGTGTCTTGACTTTGTCTCCATCTGCGCATATGTCTCCTCTGTTTTCCCTTCTTGTGAGGAGTTAGTTTTCCAAATCTACAATTTTCCTTTCAGTATAACTTCATCTTAATTGTGTCTGCTATGACCCTATTTCCAAATAAAGTTACATTCTGAGATTCTGTGTTGACATGAATTTTTTGGGGGGAAACCATGCAACCCAGTACAATGTCCTTATTTCTTCTGAGCGTGGTTTCAGAAATCTTCGTTGTGCTCTGTCTGCATAAGGGATCTGTGCATGCATGCATCCAGCCAGCCAGCAGTCATTACTGAGAGCTTAAAATGTGCGAGGTACCTGATTAGATGCCCACAACACAAAAAGAAAACAGTGTTTGAGATCTTTGGCCACACTATTAGGAATGTACTAAGCTAGGGACAGGTGGAACTGATGGTCGTATTCTAGTCAGACCAATGAGAGAACTATTCAGATTCAGGCACTTTAAGAGGGACGTGAAGTGGGACATGTTCAGAGGACGGTGGCCAGGATCCTACAATTATCTCAGTGTGGCCGCGGTGAAGGAACCGTTGGAATGGCTAAGAATGGCTCAGGTGTGCACATGGGCAATGGGCGAGGGCTAGGAGGCACGAGAGTGCTCTCTGATATGTGAAGGGTGACAGCCGTAAGAGTCTGGGTTTGTTTTTTGTGTCTGGCTAGAAGGACCACAACCAATGGGTGGAAGCTACAGAGATTTGTCTATCAAGCTGGTTCACAGTAGAAACGAGGACTGTCCAAAGACATAGCCAGGATTGGGTGACGCTGGTAGCTGCCCATGTGGGAGTTTCGCCTTTAAGCTGTCACACCTGCTGAGTGATGCCTCGTCCGCTGGGGGCTGGAGGGAGATGAAGAGAGGTGGAGTCTTGTTAAGGGACCTTATTACTTGCTGAACATCCCAAATGAGATACTAGATAGAGATCTCTGTTTAAAAACTGTAGGAACACGTCCTTTAAAGTTGTTTTGCACAAACGTACACTGGTTCTCAATATAAACGTAGTGGTTTGCATAAAATTAAGTTACTTTTATATGCCAAACAGTGTGCTGGGGCCTAGCAGTGCAAGGTTGAAAAAGACATGGGCCCCAGTCCACAGGGCCTCCCAGGAGAATGGGAGAGATGTAACATTAAACAGGGGCAACCAGTGTAATAATATAAGAATTAGGATACAATGAGGTATAATACAAGATTAAGATACAATAAGAGTATAGAATTCAGTAAACGTTTGAAGAATGAATGATTGATTTTCTTCAAAGAATGATTTTTATTGTTGTGCTAGCCTCAGGTTTATAGTGGCATGAGCAGCTGCCCCAGGTTGCCGGGGCCTGAGAGGACTCTCGGGACACGGGACTTTCAGTGCTAAAACCAGGAAAAGCCTGAGCAAACTGAGAGGAGTCGGGCACCCTATTTTACAGGCTTTTAAAGAAAGAAGGTCGACACGAAAACAATCACAGCCCCAGCAGCACCAGCGGCCACGGGAGCAGAGAGGGCACGTGCTGCGTCTCAGGGCAGCCAGGCCAGGCTCCGGCTTCATCTCAGCAGGGACGATGTCTGCCTCGTCCCCGCTACGGTCCCAGCACCCAGCAGTGTTGGGCACGTGATTGGAATTCAATTAATATTAGTCGAATTCGCCAGGTAATTAATACGATCAAAAAGTACTAGATCTGTGCTGTGAAGGCTGTGGAGCATTTTGACCCTAGGAGAAAAGGGTGTGTGCTAGAAGCTTCCAAAAATAGAGAACCTGGGTATAGCCATTGGTAAATACGATGTTTAATGGAATCCAGTCTTTTCCTACGGCTATTAATACAGCTCTGGGGAAAGCCCTTGAAACAATGCCTTTCTATTTTCTCCATTCTTTTTCATCCCGCAGGCTCGCCCTTGTCTTCCTTTCCTGCTTCCTTCCCCTTTCTCTGTTCGAGGAGATAGTACTGTTTGCAGAGACCACACGTTAGAATCTCGTTCAGAGCAAGCCTAACTGGCAAATAAACGTCCAGAAAAACATTCTGCTTGGGAATGCGCTGAGGTGCAGGTGGAGCAGGAAGGACGAGATTGGCCAAGGGACAGACTGTCTGGAGCGTCGGAGCAGCACGGGAGGAGGCGGAGCGCAAGGGCGGGAGGACCAGGAAGGCGCTTGGGGCCGCAGGGTGAAAGGACCAGGTGCAGAGTCACGGTGCAGCAGGTGTGTCTCCTACTGGATTCTCCTCACGGAGGATGACGTGTGGATGTCACTCCTAAGAGGGAGGGAGCAGCAAAGGGGGAGAAGCGTTTCCTGAGCGACCGCTGTGCGCCAGGCGCTGGGGTTGCTTTTACTGCAGGACCCATGCGCGCGGGTTGTGAAAGCAGGCATCGTTATCCCCATGATACACGTGAAGACACAGGGGCTTCAGGAGACTCAGCGACTTGCCCAAGATATTAACTAGCACTTTGCACAAGCCAGATCTGAACTGGGTCTGTCTGGCTTTGCAGACGGGACTTCCAACTTCCCATCTTCCTTTGACATCTCAGCTAGTGAAAGCAGAGCCTTTCACAGCCTCCGCTCTCGTGTCCCGCCTCTCCTCGACACCAGCAGAGCCTTCCTCGCCAAAGCACCCGAGGTCTCCTTCCGCTGGGCTCAGAGCCCCGTCTCCCTTAGAAACAAGTCAGGATCTGGGTATCTCTGACATTAAATACATTATTTCAACCTGGACAGCCCCCCAGGACTTTGCGATAGTTTTTGCCTTTCGTCACTTCCCAGTGTTGTTGTGGTAGGTGGATGCGCTCCTTCCAGGGCGCGGTCACCCAGAAGCTGTGGGGATCGTCTGAACCGAGCAGCCAGCTGCATCTCTCGCAGTGCTCATGGCCATGAGTCATTAGCAACACAGAGAGAAAAGTAAGAAAACCTAGATTCCAGCCCAGGCCCAGCCATGCAGGAGCTACAGGCTGAGCGTCTTTGCCTGGTTGGGCCTCAGCCGTATTATCTGTGAGACGCTGAATGACGCTCGCTTTGCCTCCCTCTCAAGTCTGTACTGAGAGCTTACCTTGAGTGAAATGATAAATAATAAACCAGAAAATGTAGGACGAAGGAAGGGTGTTGGCTTTAAATCGTTTGTGGAACAAAGTGGGCATAAACAAAATATGAAATATTATTTTTATTTCTTGGTAGTTAGTCAGTTCAGGTAAAAGAAACCCGAACTCAATCAAGCTTAAGCCAAAAAGGGGACTTCATTTGCTCAGATAAATCTGGGGCAGGATGGAGCTGCCTGGGAGTGGCGAGGCCGTATCGGGCATGAGGACGCCCCTCTCCGCTTTTCTCTGACTTGCCTGTGTGGGCCTCTCGCTCTCGCTCTCCAGGAGCTTCCCGCGTGTGATGGGCACCATGGCTGCTGACGCTCCAGGCTTGTCTTCCGACTTCTGGAGAGTCTTCTTCAATTTGTGACATAGAGCGCAGACAGAACAGTCCGTAATGGTGTGCCGAGGGTTTGGGCTCCCATGTTTCTCAGCTGGTCATGAGAGATGGAAGGCAGTTTTTCTTGCAGCGTGAGGTAGGAAAATCCCACGTAAGCCCTGTGGTTGGCCTGGCCTGGGTCAACCTGTGCGTGCCTTGGACCAAGTCGCTGTGTCCAAGGGG